TATCTATCTATCTATATCTACCTACCTATCTACCTACCAACCTACCTACTTACTTTACTTCTTTATCTATCATCGACTGGTATTTTTCTATTTCTGTATACCTTGTATTATTGCGAAATAAAACATTTTCCCTGGTGGAAAAAAAAAGGGTGTGTGTGTGGGGGGGGGGGCTTTGACCCACAGTCCCAGCTGCCCCCCTGCCCCCTTTCCCCAGAGCCTCTCCTCCCTCCTCCCTTGTGGACGGCGCTTACTCACGGAAGTGTTCTGGCACTGTACGCTGGAGCTGTTGAACCTGAGGGCCGGCACTCTCTTCTCGAGGCCCTGGATGGTGATGATACACTCGTAGCCCCGTTGGCCCGACTGCGGTTGGGGTAAATTCTTGGCCTTCAGGGTGATGGGCTTGATGACATCCACGGGGACCAAGATCTTGCTGGCCCTCAGCAGCTGGGGACAGTCCTGCACACCAAGCAGACGGAACACAATTCTGGGAGTTAGGACAGAAAGCGCGACGTGTTCATCTTTTCCCCCTGCGTCTTCTGGAACCCAGGACTCGGACAGGGGTGTATTAGGAAGATGACCTGATGTTTGTGGGCTTGTCTGTTCCAAGATAAGCTCCTCTGCCACCCGGACCCCCCCCCAATATACACACCCTGAGAACAAAAAATGTGTTGTCCACACACACAAAATTGACACTTCAAGAAGCGATTGGGCTTCCATTTGTCAGAAACGGTTTAGGGTCTCCTTCTTGGATGGGGGGGGGGGTTGGACTAGATGACCTACAAGGTCCCTTCCAACTCTGATTATCTGTTATCTGACATGAAATCTATTTCAGGTCTCAGGGATTGGCTGAGGAATTTGCTTACTTTATTTATCTAAAACCCACCTTTATTACTTTTATGTACAACTTTAGGGCATATCTAAGACTTCTTTCTCCTCTTATTTTTATTTTTCCTGCAACAAAAATACTGTGAAGTGATTTGGGTTGAGAAAGAGGGACTGACCCATTCAAGCCAAAGTCAGGACTGGAACTCCCTGTCTCCTGGTGATTGGACCAAACTCACCTAACTGGCTTTCATGCCTAAGGCGGGACTAGAACTCACCATCTCCTGGTGATTGGACCAAAGTCACCTAACTGGCTTTCATGCCTAAGGCGGGACTAGAACTCACCATCTCCTGGTGATTGGACCAAAGTCACCCAGTCAGCTCTCATACATAAGGTGGGACTAGAATTCATCATCTCCTGGTCATTGGCCCAAACTCCCCCAGGTAGCTTACCTGCCTAAGGCAGGACTAGAACTCACCATTTTCTGGTCATTGGCTGAAAGTCACCCAGCCAGCTTTCATGCCTAAGGCAGAATTAGAACTCACCATCTTTTTTTGACTGGCCCAACCTCACCTAACTGGTTTTCCTGCCTATGGTGGGACTAGAACTCACAGTCTCCTGGTAATTGGCCCAAAGGCACCCAGTATGCTTTCATACCTAAGGCAGGACTAGAACTCACCATCTCCTGGTCATTGGTCCAAAGTCATCCAGCCGGCTTTTGTGCCTAAGGTGGGACTAGAACTCACACTCTCCTGGTGATTGGCCCAAAGGCATCCAGTCTGCTTTCATACCTAAGGCAGGACTAGAACTCACAGTCTCCTAGTAATTGGCCCAAAGGCACCCAGCTGGCTTTCATGCTTAAGATGGCACTAGAACTTACTGTCTCCAAGTTTCTAACTTGGTTTCTTCACCGCTAGACCAACCTGGTTCTCTGTGAAAACGATCTATGTTTTTTTATGTACAGATTTGATGCTATTTGGCGTCGGAAGGCAGACCGAGCGATACAATCCCAAGATCACACTTTTTTTTTTTTAAATTCAGAAGGGATGAAATTCAGAAGGGACGAAATTCAGAAGGGAGCAGCTTTATACAGAATCCTCTCTCGACGTTTTATATCATTCTATTCCAAATGGCCCCATAAGGTCTCATCTTCATTATAACCTAGCTAAGCTGTCTGACGGGATTACAAACAAAAATGTGCAAATTTTACCCTTTTTATCAGCCATGCTCAATTAGCCATTCTTTGGTCTGAAAGTTTTTGAACAAATTGGGGGAAATCATCCAATAATCTTTATAATGAATCCCTCTGTTGGGTTTATATATTTCCTAAAACGTATCAATTGCAAAGTGCAACAAATTACTTCAGTTCCTGATGTTTCTTTCCGGATGGCTATTAAAGTTAATTTAATACCTAAATAAATGTTAGATCGCTGGATCGGTGTACAAGTATGTAAAAAGGAGGAGAAATCGTTCTGTATGAAACAGCAAAACGACAAAAGAATTCTGGGGGAAAAAAAAGTCATTTTTTTTTCAAAGCTTTGATTCAAAGCTGCTCAACATTTATTGGCTGTACTAGCAAGTCTTTTAAAACATGCATGAATTGAATTGTCCCAGGATGCAGTTCTGCTGGGACTAGGCATTCAACATTATTAAACGAGCTACGTGTTCAAAAAGCCCCCCCAAAATAAGACAATAATCACTGCTCGGTAAATATCGTCTACGTATGTATATTTAAAACTGCACAATAATCAAATAATCTCTAGGAATTCTGGGAGTTGAAGTCCCCCCCATCGCAAAGCATGCT